CAACAGAACTGATGGTATCACATGCATTGTCAGCAACAGCTGAGGGTGGAATGTAAACAGCTACCAAAATTACACTGGTGAACTCTCTTGGTAAAAACTATGGATGAAAACTTACTGCCAAGATTTCAATGTCTGGACTGCAGTGACGAAACTTCACAGTAACATGTCCTGGATGACACCATCTGTTGTTGACAAGCACTGCTAATCCACCTCCTTTCTTTTTCCCGCTGCTCTTTAAATCTCTGTCTGCTCGTATAGTCTGGAAGCCTGGCAGAGATGTTGGCATCAGGGACATGATCCTGCAGCCATGTCTCAGTGAAACATAATACTGCATTCCCTATACGCTTGCTGAGTCCTTGTCAGGGCTTGAAGTTCATCCACTTTGTTAGCTAATGATCTCACGTTGCCCATTGGGATTGATGGAAGTGATGGTTTGAACTTCCTCCTTCTCTCGCCTCTTTGCTCCAGCTCTGCATCCACGATGCCTCCTTTTCAACTCCTCTGGGATTTGCGGCTTCAGTTGATGTATTATTTCAGATTTTGCAATATTAATCAGCTGCTCGCTGTTGTAAACCACCCTGTTGCTGTGGTTATGCATCATAACAAAAAGCAAAGTATAAAAAAAGTATTGGCAAAAACCAATCCAGCTGCACAGCACCCAAAACACAAATGAACAGCAGTCCAAAAAAGTTACTTTTTCCGCAGAAAGGCAGGAATGAACGCTTGAAAAGAAAAGAAAATCTCAATAAAAGTWACAGAGCTACTCCAACGTGCTGCCACCCTCAGCGGCGCAATATTAAGTAGTTTGCCCTCATTTCTACAATTTGGGGATAAGTAACAAATAGAAAAGTGAAAATAAGAAACACTTCTTTCAAAGGAGATGTTCATTTAGGAACAAGCCACTTATTTTCTGTCAAAGAGTGAAAACGAATAAAGTCTTCACGCATGTTTGTGTGCATGAATGGGGTTTTTTTTCTGTTTGGATGGATTTTTTTCCCCAGAAAAAAAAAAGATTCTGAAGTCAAGCAATTCAAAATAGCTGCAACAGACATCTAACTTTAGAAAAACACAAAATGGCTACAATTTAGTCCATTTTTACAGAAACTGAGCTAAAATCGGGTGTAGTAGTTGTCATAGTTCTGTAAAGAAGCTAAGTGCTGCTCTTTGATTAAAATTTTAGTTTTATGCTAGCCTTATTAGTTACTAAGAAATACTATTTATCGAATATATAATGTAATAGGTGGTCACCTCCTGGTGTGGGGAACAGCAACTCTTTATGCCTGACTTAGATAAAGTCAAAAGGCGCTTTAAAATCAAGAAAAAATGTCATTATTAATTAAGATGAAGGTTTCAAATYGTTCTGTAATTCCTATGATGAAGTATCCAGTACAAAGGGCTGTAATGGTAACTGTATACCTTTAGGCATCTTTCGCAGCAGGCTGAAGATGGGACTGGTCCTGATGAGGTCCCTGGCCCTGAAGAAGTGCATGGAAGGAGGAAAGTCTGCCCTGGCCATCTCCTCCTGCTTCATTTTAAACAGAAGCGTGTCCAGACGCTGCTCGGCATCGGTCAGCACCATCTGCCCACCTGTCTGCATGTAGGCCTCCAGCTGCATGAGAGCCTCTCTCTGCCTGGGGTCTGGGATGGACAGGCCACAGGTCAGGAAGCAGAGAAACACCACGGCCGCGTGGGGGCGCTGCAGCTGGATAGCCATCGTCTGGAGAGCTGAAGGCGAGGAAAACAAACAAACAAACAAACAAACAAACAAACTGGGATTACCAGTGCGGTTAGGTTGTTGCTGAAAAAGCAGCCCGATAGCAGAAGTGAAAGCTAATAGTCTGCTAACCTGTTAGCTGAGACAAAAATAAAGCGTAAATTCTGCAGAATAGAAAGGGGCTAAGGTGCTTGTTCATGGGCAGCTGGTTCAACCAGTTTCAGCAAAAATAAAGTTAGGCTAATTTACTTATTCAACAACTGTGTAAAACTAGACAAGATACGAAAAGTGAAATTTGTTACGTTACCTTGTTTTAACCGTAGCTGTTGCCGCTGAACTGAAGGTACAGTAAGTACACAAAGCCTCGAAAGCAGTTCAGCTGTCACGTCAAAATATATTTAAACACAAGACTGTTAATTAAAATATATCTTTGTTACTGTCCAACTACTACTGTCGCACTTAATGAATGTGCCATGAAAATGAAACCGCTGACGACTAAAAACAAAAACACATACAGTACGATGTTACATCGTTTACGATGTTTTTTTTACCCAGTGCATTGCCTTCTAGGCTGCAAAGTCCCGCCTTCTTCGACGTGATTGGTTAAAAGACGATTTCATTAGCAATTTGATTGGTTYCTGTGATTGTCAAGTTTTCTCCAAGACAATGCCGGGGACGTTTTACATAGAGTTTTTGCATTGATGAAAGACTTTGTGTATCTCTCTTTCTCGTTAATTTAAAATGAACAGGTGTTGAAAAAGCAAATACTTGATGTTGCATGATATAAACTAATCAAAATAGCTTTTTGTTTAAGACTTTCATGCTCAAATGTAAAAACTTAATTGGATTAGACTTACCTTTAATTAGATATATCCATTTTTTATACATCCTGAAAAAAACCTGTGCCAAGAGAAACCACTGTTTCAAATGCATTTAAATAAAATGGTTTCCTTCATGTTTTGTCTCTTGTTGGATAGCTTTGTTTACAACAACCTGTCTAATTAGGCTCAGTTAAAGTATCTTAATTACAAGCTTCATTTGCATATTGTTTTGTTGCCAAGTTTGTCCCATTAAAACCCGAACAAAAGAATATATTACTTGTGAGCCTTCTGAAGAAATCCTGCCCCGTGCTCCAACTCCTGCAGACGACTCAGCATTCAGTCCAACAACAGGATAAACTCATTATTAGAGACTGTGTTGTTGTGCTTCAATAGAATAAGTTTGAATCTCACCACTTTCACTGACAGGATATTAAATGTTTACAAGTTATCTTTAGATAATACAGAAGATCCAGGTTTTGCATATTCCTAAAAATAACTTGCACTCTTGCTTGAGAAGTTTTTTTTTATTTCTAAGACAGTATAGAAAATAATCCATTTCCAAAATAATCTATGTCAGTCAGATAAGAACATGTAAACGTCAATTTAAAACAAAACAAAAAAGGTACAAGTCTTTTTCCCCAATGCCACCATGCTACTGAGGTAAAGGAACAACTGTAAATAAAAAAAAACATCAAGAAACAAGACACCAAATTTATATTAAAGATGAGTCCAACAAAATGTACACAAATTCTTAAAGAGCAAATAAATATGATTCACATTAAATCACACCTAAATGTTTTTTTTTACTAGTGCAGAGAGATGACAGCAGAGCAAAAGTGAGAATTGAACGCACGCTTCCATTCAACTGGTGCCAATTCTACACACACCAGAACCATACACACACACTCACACACACCTGTACACAATAAGACAATATCACAAAAAGCTCACAGATCTTTAAAGACAGCACCGTCCTTCATACAAACACCGTGAACACTACCTCCTTTTGTGGCAAACTAGGCTCACTAACAAGTCCCTTGTTTTTGACAACTCTTGTGTGACATTGTCTCACAGTCTCTACCTTCATTTCTCTATTTCCTTTAATYCACATCACTGAAGACACTGGGATGCTAAAAAATGATAAAAACCTGTATGTGACTCAGTACAGACCCCAGACTGAATATCTAGTTGCCCAACAAGCTAAAGGCAGTTTAGCATGAAGAGAAAATATTTTACAAATATGTTTAATATTGTCTAACGCACATCAGATTATTAAAAAATAATCAAATACATTGATAAATGTGGGATAAGTATTTTTTATATTAAGTTTTGGGGCCTACAATGTAAAAGTGATGCTAAGACAATCAGGTGGGAATAAAACATCTACCTGGAGTCTGGCAGGGTGAGAAGGGAACTAAAGGAGCTGTGTAGATGCCAAACAGTGGCTACATGAGGTAGATTCAGGTTTTGCCATTGCTTAACTGCACTAGGAGGACTATCATAAAAAAAAAACTTCTGCAAGTCATACAAATTAAAAATAAAAAAACGTACTGGCTGCTAACTGAACTAAAATCATTGTGATGGCAAGTGGCATGTCATCAGATCAAGAGAAATGCAAAATAAGAAATCAGATAAAACGAACATTCAATCAACTTTAACAACAAAACAAACACACACACAAAAAAAAAACGGGCAAGCGGCGCGCTAAYCCGCCTATTAAAGAACAACTAATTGGGACATTTTATCATCAGCATTTCCTCGAGCTTTACAAATCGGTCCCATTTTTAATTATGCTGCTTCTTCTTGAAACGACTCACACGAATACCCGTATCTAGAAACTGTACACCCTGAGGATTTCCTTTGTACTAACATTAGGAAGTGGAAGCATTCAAACAAGCAACTGTGAAAATGAAAGGAAGATCTAAAAATCTGTATTCGAGAAATGCAACTATTAAAAAAACAAACAAACTATTGGATGAATTTGTTCTGTGCACGTGCGATGGACCAGGGAGTGAGATATCTACAAGAAAATTTGAGATTATCCTCGTCCAAGGCAGAGCTCAGCAGTTAAGGGTTGCAATTAATATAAACATTTTCATACATGTCTGCATTAACAGATAACGACTAATACAAGGCAAACAAAGGCCACTCAATTTTAGGATGTCCAGATTGATTAAATCCATAGTGCATAAAACAGAACCAGGTACATTTTGATACAAACATTGACAGTCCCTCTCTGCTAAGACATTCTTAAAATGAAGGCAGCTTTGAAAAATGCATATATTGTGTTTTTTTTTCCAAGTTGAAAATTGTTAGAGTTAGGGGTAAAATTACAGTAAAATAGGCTGGACAGCTGATGCTTTCAGAAGAGTGGTCAGTGTTGTTTGTCCTTTAATGTGCAACGAATGTGCTGCATGTATTGTCTACACATTTACTCATACATTCATGAAGGAAACCAAGGCATCTGTAAGAGGCCTGTGAGCTGACTCTGTCTGAGTGACAGGCTCAGAGTACCTCCTTTTCTACACCTGAGTTTAAAAAGATATGGTTGGAATAAAATTTAGTAGWAAAAAATAAAAACAGCTCCTCTCTTTTGTCACAGATGAGCGGCTGATTATTTGTCCGTGTCGGCCGCTTGTGCAGAGGGCTGTCCAGTGTTCCTGAAGGCAAAGCCGCCTGCATTCAGCAGGTCGGCCTAGTGGTTAAAAAAAAAAAGAAAAGATCCCAATCTGCGGGGAAAAGGAAAGCTTCACCGCTCATGTCGGGAGATAAAAGTTCCACTGGTGTGTCCTTGAGCAAGTCAGTGAATCCCTCACAGTTCCAGAGTTGTTCTGTAACTGGCCAACAGGAGCTCTTATAAAGCAGGGTGACAGAGAAGAGAAATGATCTCCAAGGCTCAAAGACAGTTCACATTTTTTCTTTTTCATCTCAGTAATACCAGCTGCCTGGTTGGATCTTCAAGTCCAGTGGTAGGCAAAGCTTAAATATAATGCAATATATATATAAAGGTGACGTAGGTGAAGAAAACCATGGCTGTGAGGTCAGTGTGTGACTTTCTACCTTTGCCAGATGTCTGCAGGAAAGAAAGAACATTTGGTTAAATTGCATTCATATCTTTCTATACACCAAACACTAGAGTTGTAAAGTAACTAATTACAAATACTTTGTTGCTGTACTTTAGTAGAATTTTTGGGTATCTGTACTTTACTTGAGTATTATTTTTCAGCCTACCTTTTACTTCTACTCCTTACATTTTTAAAAAAGGCAAGAAGTAGAAAGTTGTTACTTATATTTCATTTTTGCTTGTTTTAATTCCAGCTTGTTATTGTAAAAAAATAAATACTATCCATATAAATTATGCCTCCTACATAAAGTGAATTTAATTGTGGTTGAATGAGAAGTATAAATATATAAAATTCTGATACTGTATTAGTTTGTACACAAACAAATCATGTCACACTCCAGCAGGACATAATCATTAAAATAAAAGGACTGTACTTTAGAAATATTTGTATTTCATGATTTATATTTTTGTATGTGGCCACAGCCCTCAAATATTTTTATTTTGGGGAAAAGTTTTGGGCAGCCTTCAAGTAAACTAAAACATCTAGACTAGTGCATCCTAAATTTAACATAAATTATTTTTTTAATACAATATAATCATTTCTGCATTTTTTGGGGGGAGGTCACCTCCTAATAAATGTCCTTACAGAAAATCTAACTGTTCATTTTGAATCAGTACTTTTACTTTTAATATTTAAGTACAAAAAATATCAGATACTTTAAGACTTTTACTTAAGTAATATTTCTAAAGGAGACTTTAACCAAAGTATTTTTTTGTTAAAATACTTGTACTTTTATTCAAGTATCACTTTGTGGTACTTTATACAACACTGCCAAACACTAAAACAAGTTTGTCAAAGGAGTGAAACTGGGGTCACCACACAGTCGACATGGTAAATCGTGTTTTTACTCACTTTGATCCGTTGGTGTTTCACAACCCCTGTTTACTTCCTGAACCGCCTGGAGCAGCCATCATCTGTTGTCTGTAAACACACAATGAATATTTTGTTTCCACAGTTATTACTCAGAATTAGTTTGGCACAGTTAGACTTCTGAGAATATTAAACACGTTTGACACAGTGGACATTTTTTTTACTCAACTAAATGCTTTAAAAACTTTACTTTAAAAAAAACAGTTTTGTTATAATCCTATTAGTCACTCTTTCATCCATGATTATGACCTAAAATTGTTTATTTGGCACAAGTTTGAGATTAAGCAGCTTCAACTACATAGTGGTATTTAAAAAGGAATCCAGTATCTAAAGTTACGTTACCCTGGGTGTATGAAGCGCTCTGGTGCCAGGCCTCGCTGTTGAACCATCATGCCCTGAAAGTGCCCACCAGGTCTGGGCTGTCTGTACATGGCCATGCGTGTCTGACCCGGGGAGTAGGGCAGCTGTTGAGGCCGCTGCAGAGCTTCCATCAGGTGTGGGTGGGGCCTCTGGGCAGCGTAGCGTCCTGGATCTGGGTACGGCTGACCAAGATAAGGGGCTCCGTTTCCAACTCGACGGCCCTGAGACATCAAATGCGGTGGAGGGATGCCACCTTGTTGCATTCCAGGGTGCAAGGCTCGAGGGTCATACATGAACCCAGAGGGTAGGTGAGAAGCAGGAGGATGCTGCTGGTGGAGTGGGTGGATGCTCCGGTGACGGGCAGCTGCGTTGTGACTATCGAGGTCCAGGATTTCTTTAGGACTTTCAGGCTGATCCGAGTCCTCGGCAGGAGTCTGCTTTGCTGGACTGCCATTGCTGCCTGCGTCAGTTTGCTCCCTGCTTTCACACTTTCCTTCCTCGGAACCTGTCGAATATGGTCCGGCTTCAGATACACGACCGGGAGATAGCAAGCCAGTGCCGGTGGAGCCCTCAGAGCCCAGTGGAGACATACTGCTCTCCTTTGATTGACCATTAGACCTTGAGCTGGCCACAGGCAGGTAGGCGTTGGGTGGGATGGGTTGATGAGGCTGATAAGGTGACTGCCACTCTTTGGGAGGATAACCCCCTCTGCTGAGGGTTTGGTTATGGGACTGGGTGTAGTAGGCTTGTTGCTGGTACTGATGTTGTGCGTACAGGTTTCGGAGAGTCTGTGGGTGCTGCTGTCCTGACATTTGGTAGGAGTAAGAGTTCCCTGCCTGCTGGTGGTAGGTGGGGTGGGCTGAAGGGTTGTTCAGGGGGTTTATGGCCTGATTGTGATATGGATGATGAGCAGATGAAAGCATGGGTCTGTTCATGTTTGCCTGGTTGTAATGTGGATGAGGACTCCCAATAGCACACTGGCCCATGGCTCCATTGACCTGACCTTGGGAGTGAGGAGGCACAGCTGCGTTCTGACTATGTGACAGCACCCCCTGCATGCTATTTCCCATCAACTGGGTTTGATTAGAATTTGGACTAAAACCCTGGGGTTTATAAATACTAGTTGGTGGTCCTGGTGACATCATAGGGTGCTGTGGAGAAACGGAAGCTCCCTCTGTGTCGGGCCTACTCGTGGGCTCACTGGGTCTTTGATCTCCACCGTCTGCTGGGCTCGGTTGGGAGGGCAATAATGGGGCAGGGTGACTAGGTGGCAAAGATGTGAGAGGGACAGGCTGAGCTCCCCGACTGATGAGGCTGCTCTGTGAAGCACATTGTGGGGAGAACCGTTGGGGGCTGGGATGAGAAGCCACAGAGGGATTCTGTTGCTCTGTGCTGACAGTTGCTGGACGGGGAGAGCTCTCAGGCTGGCTTTGAGGCAGTATAATCTGTCTTACTTGAGATTGCTGTTGTTTTTGGCTGTTCTGCTGGTGCTCACTTTGCGGATGTGCTTCACGATTGTTCTCCGACATGTGATGAGAGGAACTCTTGGACTCAGAAGCAGGTGGCAGGTTTTGAGGAAGACATGAAGGACTCGGAGCGTTGTGCTGTGGACTGCATTGTGCTCGCATATGGTGCTCGTATGGAATAAGCTCAGCAGAGCTGCTGGTACTTGCATTGACAGGGGATGGAAACATATTGCTTTTAGTAGAAAGGACAGACTGTCCCTGTCCAACCAAATCCTGCTTATGTCTCTCTGAGGAATTCTGTGTGAGCTGTTGCTCTGAAGGATTCTCCTTTGATCTGCTCAAGTTAAGGGCAGAGGGGCTCTGCATTCGGCCTGCTGCTGTACTGTAATGTCCTGTGGGACTGGTGATGACAGGGGCTTCTTGATTGATTGAATAAATATTTTTGTGCAATGAAGCTTCTTCAGAAACGTCCGCAGCCATTTTGTTCTCAGACGTAGCTGTTAACATACAGAAAAATAAAATGTTAACAAGAAAAAATGCTATAGAATCATTTACTACAATTTAACCACCAAACCTTCACAAAACATATTCAGAGATTAAGAACACAGCTGTTTTTCCTGTCATTTGTATTTATCCAGACCAGTCATGTGAACAATAGAAAGAGCTTTTTTAAAATTTATTTGTTTTTACWAACTCTGTTGCAAACACATTTGCAAGACTGCTAGTAAAGTTAAACTAATGGTACTATTCTTTAAATGATACCTTGTATTTTTTTAAAGTGGTAACTGTGGATTTGTTACTAGCAGACAATGAACTGAATTAAGAACAATCTCAGTTTGGAGAATCAGGGAGAAATTTGTTTTTGAATCTGATGCATACTCTGACCAGGTACAAGACGTGCATTGTTCCACAACAGGTGTTTTACACTGGATGTGCTGCAAAAGATTGTGGACCATGTTCTAACACGGACAGGTTTTAGTGTAAATAATAAAATATGTCTACATAAACCTTGAACTGAGATAAATTCTTGAATCCTGAATTTTTTTGGAAGGCTAAAATTCTCTCTGAAATAGACTGATTACTTGTTCTCTGGATCCTGACAGCTGTCTAATGCAGGTAGACTGCTGATAACTTCACACAACTCCACTAAAACACCAATAAAACCATCTCTTTGAAAAGAAAGAAAGAAGGAAGCAGGAAACTTAACAGAACTAATGAATATTCAGTTTGATCTGTGGGGGATAATTGAGTCTAAAGCATTTTTTGTAGGAAAAAAAGGAAAGTGCTGAGCTGATTACCATATACAACACTTTATACATATAGTATACATTAAAAAGGCCCATGTTTGCACTCAGTCATGCAGAATATAGATGGCTTGCTAAATGGTAAAATAAAAGGTCGTGTCTACCTTTGGGGTCCAAGTCTGCCTGTTGAGAAGGCTGACTGTCTGGCCCTTTGTCTCTCGCAGGACGCAGCAGCTGAACCTCCAGGGTGGGGGGAGGCTGTTTGGAGGGGTGAGCTGGGATGCTGCCAAGTCCTGACGGGGGCCTTGGTTGCTCAAAGTTGCCTATGTGCTGTAGAGGGGAACCAGCAGGGGGTCCAGAAGAGGCTGACAGCTGCTGCAGGGCCAGCATCTCTGGGCTTTTTAGCATTGAAGACAAGTGTGTCCTGCCAGAGGAGTCTGGCTGTGGGACAGGAGCCYGCGAGGGCCCCAAAGAGCCGGCCGCAGCAGACATTTGGTACTGAGTATTAGAAGGATGCTGGGGGTATCCAGCTGCTTCCGGCCATGGTTTATGCCCCACCGGAGGCGGGATTCCACCATAACTGAAGTTGCGTTGGTTCACAATGTTGGGATCTTGCATGCACATGCCGTTTAGTCTCTCCTGGTCTTGGTGACTCATACCTGGCCACATGTTTGATACGCCAATAGCAGGAGGTCTCAAGCCTGGGTAGTTATGCTGACTTGGTCCTTCTGTTCCTGAAAACCTGTTGGCCATGGGAAGCATGGTGTGGCCCTCTGGACGGTGGTGGGATGGATACATGCTGGCTTCAGGAGGGGGTCCAGGCTGAAGGGCGATGGGGCGTGGGCCCAGGGATGGGCCATGAGTAGGACCCATGTAAGGGTGCTGTTGTCGAGGCTGCTCATTAGGATCTGGTCCCAATGGATACCTGGAGCCCATATGATGTCCTTCAGCCATCCGATGCTGGGAAACATAAGAATTATTCAGTTGAAGGTAAAATTAACATTTAGTTATTATTTAGTATTTATTTAATTTATTGTAATCTTAAATCACTAGAAAAGAACGGAGGAGTGGTTTAGTGTACCTGCACATTATAACTGTGAGGCAAGCGGTTGAAGTTGGGGTGTCCGTGCCTTGGAATGTGAACTGGGTAAGCAAAGCGTGGATCCATTGCCATTCTTTGGGCATACATCTGCGGACCATGAGGACCAGGGGGGCCAGTGGGAGGGTGAAGCTGGTAAGATAATAAAGTTACATCCTCTCAGTTTTACTCTTCAAATGAAAAGTTGTTGAAATTTTTTAAATAAAGTAATTGAAAAAATTCTGGATACCTGTTGCCCTGGATGATACAAGCCCCTGAAGCCTCCTTCGTGGGGATGTCGCTGGCTTGGAGGCAGACTGTGCGGATGATTGTTCCAGTGTGGAGGATAGGGTGCTCGGGTCAGCCTGATGTCCTCTTCCTCAGAGCGTGAGCTGCCCTTGCCCCCCTGCGAGTTTCGCTTTCGCTGAACTTGCTCTGTAGCCCTGATCAAACTCTCGGGTCCCGAATGTTTATTGCTACGGTTACGCTTTTTGTCCTTGCGTTCCTTGTCTTCTCGGCTGATGTGGAACTCTTCGTCTGTGTCGCCGTCCTCTGATGGAAAGTGTTTTAGCAAGGCTCGGTTAAAACACCGTTCCAGTGACTCTGCCATGGTAGTGTATTCTGCAGAGAGAYGTACACACATCAGCTGTGGGTGTATGATGAAATCTATATTTTTGTACATTATAAGCAGTCACACTTCAAGAATATACATTTACACTCATACACTCCTGTCAGCTGTATTTAAAGTTGTTCCCACTCTTACAAACAAAACAATCCTATTAATTATAAAATAACTGAAGTATTTAAGCATCCATGTTTGTGTTTGCACGCCAAACAACTCTACCATTCAATCATTACATACATAATAACCACTGGCAATTGTACACCGTTTTTCCTCTACTGGATCAATTTGCACACCCCTGAGTTCGATTTAATTTGAACACCCCTGAGCTTGATTCATTTTGCACACCCGAGTTCGACTCAATTTGCACACCCGAGTTCGACTCAATTTGCACACCCGAGTTCGACTCAATTTGCACACCCGAGTTCGANTTTGCACACCCGAGTTCGACTCAATTTGCACACCCGAGTTCGACTCAATTTGCACACCCGAGTTCGACTCAATTTGCACACCCGAGTTCGATTCATTTTGCACACCCCTTTGGATCATGAGTCTGTCATGACTGTTTTTTTCCTGTAATTTTTGTATTTTTCTGCACGGTATCTTGCTTTTATTTTCATTTTATCATCTAATTTCATTTTGATAGTCCAGTACAGTAATTCATATTCTTCTTTTTATTTTGATCTATGTTTATTTTTATTGTTACCATCTTTATTATTGCTACAGTTGATAATGTCACACAGCAATATACTGTTTCTGTGGACCGATGTATGTATTTGCTGCTGCTATTACACCTGAATTTCCCCACGCGGGACAATAAATGCTGTTTTTATTCTATTCTATAAATCTAAACGGTCAAAAACTGCAAATCAAAATACATCCCATGTCTCCATAAAACACAAAACAGCTCCAGTGTTCTCAGCCTAGTCCTAGCTCAATGACCAGGTCAGAGGGCGCTGGCTGACCCGTTTCTCCAACCTTTAGCTTCTCCTTTTTCTGCTCCACCTCAGGCCTCTTCACATGTCTCCTCCCCCCCATCCCATGGGGGAAGAGTATTCATTTGGATGGATGGCTCTAGACAGGGGGCTTAGGGCCTGGAATGTTTCTCTGGCACTGCAGGGCCCGGGTCCCCCCTGAGCACTGGAGCACAACTCAATCACTCCCCATTAATCACTGTCAAGCCTGTCCTGGCCCCAGCCCCAAGACACCACCAAGTCCATCCCTCCCCTTTTTCTTTTCCTTTTGCACTCTCTGAGTCTTATGCAATCTTGCACCTAATTTTTAAAACATAAACATACTGAAACTGCACGTTTTTTTTCTTCTTTTTTTTCCAGTTTATTTACCACTGTCTTCTCCGTTGTACTCGACGCAGTTTTCAAACATGAGCTTCACGTCAGCAACAAACTCCTCCTTAGCAACATACTCCCCATCGCTAAGCTTCTTTTCAATGGTGGACAGGTCCATGGGAGTCTGACAGATTGAAACAACATAACAGTAAGGACAAAACCATTCTGTAGCATTAAAATATTTGTAACGGCATACACCAGTGAGCATTGAACCCCCCCAACACTATCCATGAAAAATAATATACCTGGATGATCTCGTGGTAATTTGGAGCATATGAGTCATCTACAGGCTCCAAGAAAGGCCAAGCATCTTTATGGGCTTTCAGGGCTTCAAGAACTAAAGAGCAGAATTTAATCAGATTATATAATAAAACCGAAGTAAAATAAAATAAAGCCAAATGATTTGGTAACTATTCTGTAAGCAAACCTTTATATAGAGCAGTATAGTCGTCATCAATATCATAACTGAAAAAAAAAATAAAATAAAAATCAAACATAAGATGTAAGTAGACATCAACTGAATTAAATATCAAGCAAATATGACATAAAATGTGAAAAGCATTTTACAATTCTTTATTCTTGCGTGTTCTGAGGACAGGGGAAGATGGCTCCAGGTTTAGGAGTTCAGGCGGCAGGTCTTTTCCTTGAGCCAACAACCAAGCCTTCTCCTCTCGCATCTTCCGCCTCTTGGCTCGCTCTGAGAGAAACAGATGAAAACAACGAGCAGTTAGATTCACAAATGATTAAAATAAATAAACAGGTATTTAAAATCTCATAGGGCTGCAGGTAAACATTGTTTAGACAGTTTTTTTCGAACACTAAAGCTGAAAGTTTAAACTCAGCGTTTCCCAAATGTTGAGGAATCATGAGTCTAGAGACCAAGCATCATTTTTAAATAAAATTTAAAATGACTGCATTTAACATTTTTGCAATAGTTAGATGAATCTGTAGCCAAATTAATTAGATAAAACTAGTATAAATGTTCAGGTTGTTTCTGTTGTCATGTTCTTGTTCAATTAGTAAAATTTTTACATTTAAAAACAGTGAGTGCGCTTCCTTTCTCACTGAGTTTGCCAGCAAAATAAATGAAAACCAAGCCTTGGCGATCAGACAGCAGGAGTTCAAAGACGTAATAAAGAATGATTTATCAGTCATCTTTCTTTAGGCCCAGCTGATCAAAAGCACAGAACAGAGTGTGTGCAATATGTATCACAGCTTTAGCTTTCAACATGAAAAGCAGAAAGGCTTGAAAGCCCCCCTGCTGCGTGGATTAAAGATGTTTGGAGGGAGGATTCTACACATCCAACCTACAGAGTATAGGCCGAGTCCTGCTGTTAATCTGTAATAACATTAACGAGCCCCTTCAAATCAAGCACCGTCAGCGCTTCATTAACCCCATGATAGATGACATCAGAGGGAGGGAGAATAAGAGGAGTCATCCTGTGATAAAAACATCTCTGCTCACACATTTTATGTGTACTATACATAAATCATAAGGTCTCAAGTGCAGCTAGAGACCTTTCTGCTATCAAGGACCAAATCCCAGGATTGGAGATGTGACAAACTGCATACAAAGGGCCTTTCACAATCCAATTTCTTTTAATAAAGCTTTAAATCTGTTTCTAATACTGATGAGGTGATATTAAAGTATCACATTTTGTGACTTTTGATATTTAACACTAAACTTAATCTTTATTCTCTAAACTTTTTTATGCATCGGTTTATTTGGAAGTGAAATTTGGGATTAGACAGACATAATAAAATGTGTATTTTAATAACAGATAATTACTGCATTCCAATAATTTATTTATTGACTTTACCCTCCACAGCTTTGATCTTCTCTAATTTTTCCCTCTGTCGTTCTTCCTGCAGAAGCCGTTCCTCTTCTCGTCGCTGTTCAGCCAGTAAAACCTGCCTGTCCAGCTCTTCGTCTTTCTTCCTCTCCTCCTCTGATCGGATCTTCAGAGTGTCCTGGAAGCAAATACACGTCTTTTAGTCTTACCTGCACTCATATTACCAAAAAACCAGCCTGAATTGATTGGGTGTTGTGAAATCATTCAGTGCAGAGTTTATCTGATCCAAGCAAGACATCCACCTGCGAGTCTTAACTTTAACCATAAATAACTACAGGACACACCTCTTTCTTGTGTTGAATGGGATTTTCAGAGAACCATTGTGATGTGCGAACAGGAGCTGGATCCAGGAGCTTCTGTTTCTGCTCCTTCTCCTGAAAAACAAAACAAAACAAAACAAAAAAACAAAGATGAAGAGTGGATTTGCTTTTTTAATATGCTTTGTGTTACTTTACTGTGTTTCTTTAAAGTTTTCTTTAAAAATTGTTTTTCATTCTTGAAAACACAAGTTCTTTTTGTGTTAAAAGTTTTATGAGTAAAATCATGAATGCAAGATTTCCGCGTTGAGTCTAACAAACATCACTAAAAGTTTGAAACAGGCGACATCAGAGAGCATTTATTTTTTTACATTAAAGACTGGAAAAAACTCGTTTTAATTGCTTGTTGGAGCTTTAGAGCGTATTTACTATGATGGAACATTTTTCAATAATTTTTACTGACACTGATGAGTTCAGGTGGCTATTAGCTGTTGGAATGAAACTATTGTATATCTAACATATTGGCAAGCCTTTTGTAAAACTCAAGATAAAAGGTTTTTTACGGATTTTTCCTGTATGATCGAGACAGTTTTATCTGAGAGGACAGCCCAGATTCACAACCACAACAACAGAATCAAAACACTCTCAGACCCCCGGGTGCTGTGGAAAATCGAGTTCTTTTTTTTTATTTCACCCTCCCCCTCAAGTCAGCCTCTCACCTCTGCTGCCCACGGTCTCCCACCAATCTTCAAGGAGGACAGGACACCCATGCTCAGTATACAAATCAAAATAAACACACCCAGCATGCCTCCCATATATGAAAAAACTCGTAGTAGTGTAAAGGACATGAGAACCAGCTGGACAGTGACCAATAATTTAAGTAAAAAGATAAGAAAGAAAAGAAACAAAGAGTTAGAAAAAAATTTGTTATCTAGGCTCCACCTAGGTGAAGAAGAAAAAAAGGAAGGAAGATGTGGTGAGGGATGAAAAGACAAAAAGATAAACGCAAAAGGAAATCCGGACGTTCCTGATCTCTGCGCTCTCCACAGCTCATTGACCCTTTCCATCTCTGCCTCATTTTTACGCAATAACACTGGTGTTTCCTTAGGCTACACAGCTCCACCCTCCATAACCACCAGCGTGATCCCTGCCACACCTTCCAAAACAGACAGAGTGCCTCTGGTATCATCACAGAGAGGTCAACAGAACCCTGCAGCACTGCAGAGCTGTCGCTCAAGAGGCCCCGTCCTGCCTCAAGGTGAGCTCCTGCTGGCTGTCAGTGCCCCATTCAATGGCTGCTGACAGCAGTCTGAGTCAGTCAAAGAGAAAGATCCGAGAGAAAACATAAACCACATTTGGCACACATGCAAAAAATACACCAAATATCAGGAAAATCTAAGGCATAACTGATCTTTTCTGACACAAAAACTATTCAGGTTTTTGGATTAAGTAAAAGCAGCAATCTAAAGACACAACATTTCATTTGAATTTTATATCTGAACACTACAAGAATCCCCACTGCTGCTATTGTATACTGGAAAAGGTTATGAATGGAAATATTTACAATGCTTTATAGAAAAAGTGTGTGTGAATAGTAGTGGACTGAGAGAGGACACATTCACCTACTGACCAGTTGCAATTAGTGCGTGACCTCTCGGCTGACATCGGGCTGCCAGCAGGGTTCTTTTACTTTACTGCTGCTGATGATGGAGAAAGGCTCAAAGGGTTTCTATAGCAACAGTCTGTGCTGGTTATACATCACAGTAATGGGCAGCACCAACCGATCTTTGTACAAACAGGTGGAATAAAACAAGGGCCAGCCCTAAGCAGCTGGGACGATCAATGACCGAATCCATTGAATTGTCTGAAAGTAACTCAGCACCAATGGGTAGATATTAAAGTTTCAGCCCTGGCTTAAGCTTTTTTTTTAATGTACCAAAGGATCAAACACAAAAACAGATTACAAGTTTTGTATTTTTATAAACACTCCTCACTCTGAACTTAAATCACCTGCTCTCAACATGGTTCATGTCCCAAACTCAAGTGTTTGCTTCCTGGTGAATGTATAAACAAACATATTCATGAGGTGAAATTTAGTTTAATATGAATTTAGAGGGTTAAAAAGGCTTTTTGTACAAGCATTAAGTTCTTACTGAGACAACATAAGCCTGAGTGCAAATGAAATCAAAATGCAGACGTTACATTGTGTGCGTACTTTAGTACAAATACTTCATRTACCTGCTGGCCTTTCAGAATTCATGCTTCATTTTTTTAGCAAGAAAAGAACACGTCGACTTTGACATGCTTGAGTATAATAATATTTTTCATCTAGATTACAAGAATCTAGTCATCAAATCTAAAGAGTAAAGTTTGACTGAAATACTGAAGTTTTGGTGTCTGACCTTGTGCCGAATCATGCTGCTGATCTCAGGCAGAAAGTTCTGGCTGATGACACGGTAGAGGTGGCGATCCTGTGGGGATGTTTTGTCCTTGATGCTCTCTGTCAGACTGATCCACTGTTCTTCTGTATCACACACCAGAGACCAGGCGCCTCGGTTACGGCCTGGCACAAGGAAGGAAACGGACACTAGTTTATTAATTGTGAGAAGAGGAAAAATAAATCTGAAACTGTTAGGTTGGTGCAAAAAAAGGACACAAATCCAAAACAGTAATCACAAAAATGTGAATACTTATATGTAGGAGATTACTTTACCCCGGGTTGGAGAATGGTCATCGATTCCATTATCTGTGTCTATTTCAGACACCTCACCTTCCACGTCACTAAGAAAAAACAAAGAAACAGAGAGCAACCATGCATGACTTTATAAATTAAATTTAAAATTTTTTAAGTAGTCATTTGAGCATTTAAGGTCAGCGCATTGACCATATTTAACATTTGATTAATGATAAATGACTTTTATATTCCGTCTACAAACGATTAAGAAAGAAATCATTTGATAGCAACAACGTCTCTTAAATCTTACTTTGATGAAGCTTTTGTTTAACACAATTCAAAGACCAGGTGGCAAACAGCCATTTCAGCTGCTGTAACATTTAGTAACTTTTTTCCAGTACATCTGTGCAGCACATGAATTGTTCCACAGAAACACTAATTCTCTAATTCTTACCACACATTTTTTTTATTTGTTTACCTTAAATAATGATCTTCAAACTTTCTCTTTTTTGGTGGTCTTCCTCTCTTCTTCCTCTCTGGTAAAGTTAGATCAACTGTTTCACTGTTGGAAACCCAACAAGGAACAGAAGTTTGAAATCAGCCATTTCACAAGTGTACTGAGCAATTAACTCATTAACAAAGCTGAAAACAAATAAGCTTTTACTGCAATTAGACACTTCATACTTCCACAAATTAACCACAGAAACCCTGAGCCAGTGACGGTACTCAGCTGTAATGTGTTAAGCAAAAATACACAGATGCTGGCAGTATTTACCTGAACTGAACTTCTTTTCTCTGAAGTGGCTCTTCTTTGTACATACGAGTGCCATAAAAGTACCAGTAGAGGGCTCCATTTCCATCTTGCCCCAGAGGTTCCACCCTCAAGCTATCAGCGTCCAGGCCCTGCAGGAAGTGGGGGTGGGGGAAGGTGGGGACATAGTCTTTCTTAAATTGTGTTTAAAGTCAGAAGTAATAGCTGGATGATGTCATTTGAGCCTATAGTTGTGAATCATGCATATTARTCATGTTTAGTATCTTGCTGAGAGAATTTATGAGGTGAAACATGCGTTAAAAACACTTGCAGGAGAAAAAACTGACAAAAAAAAGAGAGAAAACAGCTGCACTACAACAAAATAACCCTGCAGTAACTTTAACTAGTAGAACTCATGCAAACCTAAACAACAACATACAGTAACTACAAAATAAAAGTAACTTCATTTAATCCATTACAGTATAGTAATGTTCATAGAGATAGAAAACCAGATATTTTTAATACTTACAAAAAAAATCTAATTTGTGGTGATCACAGTGTTTTAAACTGCATTTATACCACTAACTGATCTATCAAAGTTTATTTGTTTATTTAAGGAATCCCCTTTCTTCCAGGTTAACAAAAACTCTGAAACACCTCCAAACATGAGTGTAATTAAAAAGACAAAATGAACATTAAAAAAATAAACAAATAAAATAATTTCTGGACAATTCTGGCTAARGAAAAAATAGTTTATACCTTAAGTAGGTCAAAGACATCAGCAGCATCCAGACGGTAGTCACAGAGTCGATGCAGCAGCTCCACCTGAGTGCGAGGAGGGAGGTTCTCAAAAGGCCCGTCACGAAGTGGGTTGGGCTTCCCCTCCTCTAGTTCCCACCGGTAGCTGATGATGTCGTCCAGGTAACTGCTAAATGTCTGAGGGCTAAACAGGTGGAGAGTATTATTTTAAATGTCTGTTTATGTCATTGTTTTTTTCTACATATCTACAGAACAATCATGTGTTCTGGTATAGATCTCAGATCAAATCATCACAGCATTTTTAAAGATGTTTCTGATTTATTTAATTTTATTTAACATTATCCAAAGTCATTAATTACTTTTGGTTTTCAAACAAAGGGGTATTCAAAACTTTTGACAAATAATAAACAGATCTGGACTGAAATAAAAAGCTAAAAGACAGATTTAATGTATTGTTATAGGGTTTGTATCTCCGCTCTGAGTGCGTTCAGGAATAAAAAGATTAATCTGTACTTTCCAGTACTGAGTCAGATAAACCCATTCAGGGAGTCGGGGCAGGAGTTTATCTGAGCATTTCTGCAACAGCACACAGAAAAGGGGACATTAAAAAAATGGCTTATCTTGAAAGAGCAGTGTGCACTTTTCACACAGCTGCAGGCTCCCCTTTCTCACTACCCCAACTCTCTCCTCCATTTCTCAGACATCCTCCCTCCCACCTTTCCCTCTGCTCCGGCAGAGCGTTTAACGCGTGCAGATGAAAAGGGCAGCTTTGTGAAAGGACAGCGCTGAACAGCCACCCCCAGGATGCCAGCGCCTGTCCAGTCCAATAAAGCAGACTGTCTTCCTGTTTCTGGCTGCCTGGGTGGAAAAACTGGATCGCTCCTGCTTCTGAGCTTATCACTGTAGCACCGTGCTACCTTCTAATGACTGAGTACAGTGTAGAAGGGGAATCCCCGCGAGAAAATAAATGCATCTGTGGGTTTGAATACCAGCCTCTGCAACTCTGTCACTTTCTCCCACTGTGTGATCATGTGGGAGAAAAAATAAAGTGCTTTCATAGCAAACACAGAAATTACACCACACCATCATGGTCTGAGTAAGATCTGACTCCAGAGGAAGTTATTTTGTTTGTGACTCAAAACTTCTATAGGTGTCTGGGAGTAATGACTAATTTCAAAAATACTACAAAGCTGGTTTAAAGTTGGCTAAATTATTATTTTTAAATGTGTTTCTTAAGTTTATAATAATAATAATAAAATTACTTTACATGTCTATGGTACATTTCAGTCCTGCAGTTCTATGACAAATGAGATCATTTTAAATCATGAGTGAACTACTGAAGATTTATTAAATAATTAGCCATACTCAACGTAAAAAGAGTAAAAAAAGATATGCTGTAGTATAATGTTGAATTTAAAGTTAAGCCTGACAGGATTTTTAGGATGTATCAGCTTTAAAAAAAAATCTCTTGAGTGGGAGAATCTTCWACCAACAAATATTTTCCACACAAAGTTAAACATAGTTTCCGGAAGATGTTGCCTATTGTGGTGCTGTGACTCATTTCTTCTCATTGATACTTCCTACAGAGAGGCAGCATAGTTCCATAACATGTTGGTGATATTCTACAACCTTTTTTCCCCTTTGGCTGTAAACTTACGTGATGTCTGAACGCTGGTAACATCCTTGCAACAAACAGGTAACGAGCCCACYGAGGAAATCCAAGTCCTGTTCTGACACAGCTCTCTCCAGTTCCTGGTCAAAACAAAACAAAAAAAAAGGGATCATCAGATGCTTGATTTATTTGAAACCTAAATTTGAGCACGACGACAAAGTATTTGTCAGGTTTTGTCTTATGTGACAAAGATTTATTTGCACAGCATTTCTCAGATATTAACTCAATTAAGAGCTTGAACCTGCTTCTCCTCTCCGCTGTGCACTATAAATGCACACGTCATTATGCTTTACTGCCATTTGGAGGGAAATCATAATTACATGTGGACAATCTTAACGTGGGGCACTTTCGGTTGTGTTGGTGTTGTTAGCCTGTAGCTTTGTTCTGTTAGTAAAAACAAAAACAACAATGCTAAGATTTCTGAAATGAAGTGAAACCAAGTAGCAAACAATCAGATTAATCTTTCACCATTTGCCCTTCAGAAAACATCAAAAACTTCTGTCCTGAAAGTATCTAGAGCAGTGGTTACCAACCTTTATAGACTTGTGTACCCCCTGAGCCATTTTGTCATGCCACTAGTACCCCCTCTGTCAAACGTAATGATTCTTTAAAACTGTAATGTATAACTGATTATTAAATGAAAAACTCTTTATTTAACCCCCTAGAACATTTAATTCTCAAGCATTTTATTCTTTTCAATTCAAGTTACACATAAAATAAATGTTGCCTTGAAAGTGAATAAGTAATAAAATAAATAAACCAGGTAATGGCAGGTGCATGAAGCAGCAGCGTCCAAAATACATCAAATACCCCAAATGAGCGAATTCCGTAATTTTCTGTGATTTTACACAGGACTCCATTTTGTGTCAATTTCGTAATTCCGTTTGCAATTTCCACTTTATGGAAATCATAGGGCCCTACATATCTCAGTCCTATTTTTATTTATTTTTAACACACCTGGGAAATTTTTCCATGTACCCCCTGTAATATGCTCGCTTACGCTTATCCCAACGTACCCCTGGTTGGGAATCACTGGTCTAGATGGTGTAGTAAAGATGACGTACCTACTTATAGGTAACTTTAGGCATTTTTGTTTGAACAAGGGGATGTTTCGAAGTGTTTCTCTCACAAATCGCAGTAACATCAGCTATTGCCTAAAGCACACAGTATAAYGGGACAAATAATATAATCAATAGTCAGAATGTTGTCCCTGTAAACAGAGCCAGTTTAAGGTAAGACAGCAGAAGGGAAAATTGGAATTTGCCACTTGTCTCATTTGTGGTTAGCCCGAAGTGACTGGACTGAAGCAGTGATTCAAGTTTAGCCATGACCCCTCTCCTGCCTGGAATTGTGTTTCCACCATTGAGGTTTTATGAAGCGGCAGTAACTGGCAGAGCAAACTATAAAAGACCTGAGAGTACCGAGAAAAGATGGCAGGCAGCAGGGGCCGAGGGCCGCAGCACAGCCGTGCCCCCTCCTCTCCTCTGCTGACCAACTGAGACACAGCATCACACATGGCTTCCCAGCATCCACTGCTCTCCTCTATGATACCCAAAGGCTCTGGTGTCAAAAAGGAGTTCAAAGAGAGTAAAGAGGGGATAAAGGGAGGTTCAGCTTCTGTAAATGCAAATGCAGTTTTCCATCAGCCAAGCATCCATTTGACTTTCAAGTCCTCTTTTGCAGGATGCAAAGCAAATGTTCCAGGCTGAAAACTGACCAGCTACTCTTCAGTAAACTAACATGACCTCTTTCAACTGACTTTCTTTTCCAATTATCTTTTAATGAACAACAGAAGACACTCTCTTCCTTTGTGCCACTCTCCTTCCCWTCGTTACTTTTACTACTGCACTTATCTGAGATCTATTGCCTTTTCTACTTTGAGGTTTAAGAGTTCAAAGATTTTTGTTGATGACGTAGTAGGAAGTTTAGTTATTGTGCTGCAACTTGCGTCTTTTCACTCTGCTTTTCCCTGCACGAACCTAGCTGAACTTAAAGGTCACCAAATGTCAGCATACACACCTCCTGGCCATGGAGGATGAAGGAAGCCAGGAGCCAACAAGTCAGCATGATGAAAAACAGAAAAGGGGGCGTGGCTTGAGAAAAGTTGAAAATCAGGATAAGATAAAGGTTTATGCTTGCTATCAGAAAAAAAAAACAATGACAGCAAATTAAGTCAGTTTGATCTTGCTTCTGACTGAAAATATTTTGATGAATAAAATTGACAAAAAAAATCAGGTTTTATGATGCAAAAAACTTGCAATTTAATTTATTGGCTATCTGGTGAAAACAGGAAAATTATTTTCACGAGAAAGTCGATTTCAGGAGAACTAGTGGATTTAAAGTATATTCAAAGAAGACTTGAACAAAAAATAAGTACGAATTACTCAAGTTAATTTAAGAAATCTAACCGATACCAATCATAATTATGTCTTACGACAAAATAATACAGATGGTTTAAACCTGGCAAAAATAATAAAGACGCAAAATGATTTTGTCAAGATTTCTGCAAGTGATTGTCCTGCATAAGAAATGAACTGAAATTTGTTCATTGAAAAGACTAAAAATGTGGACTGAAGACAGTTTGGTAACCGTTAATGTCACTTTGAATCGACCAATCAGATCCAAGTTTGTCATAGAATTGCAATTCCAGAGGAACAGTACATGGTCCATCATCGAATAACTTCATCTCAGCTAACGGCCCTGTCACACTAGACAACTTATACAAACCTATGAAACATTTTTTATGTCTAAATTGCTAATAAAAGTTGTATATTTGATCAATTTGTTAGAATTACTTTATGTACATGCTGAAAACAAGCTTCGTGTTGATTTTTTTTCAGTTCCATCTTCTTCGTAGACCTCTTTAACATGTTCATAAGTTGACAAAAGTTGTCTAGTGTGACAGTGCCTTAACACTCACTGAATACATTGTTCATTGAAAAGGTGTCATTTAATGTGACAAAACAAAAAAAAGGTGTGCAAACAAGTTCAAATAGGTTTTATGAATTAGACACGGATGCTAAAGACTGAACAATCACAGATTCTTGTAGTTGTGCAAATTTAGTGGATTTTCAAGGTAGACAGGAAAGTTTTACTGATAGCCCGAGGAGAGAAGAACAGGTTTGTGGTTATAAAAAAAGAGAAAAGTCTGACTTAAGAGCTGAAGATTTAGTTGCAAGCAGTTGCATCGTAATGCAACAGCAAATTGACATACAATATAAAACAACTGGTTTACATAAGCAATTTTAGTCTGCAAAAAAAAAAAGAAAAAATATACACACACACACACACACACACACACACATATATATATATATTTTTTAATAATAATGATTGACAAATAGCATTGCATCAGAAAGAGCAAAGTGGAAGCACTGCAAATTGTGTCTACTCTCATGGAGGCTTGAAAATCTTCTAGMTTTAAGTAATTGATACATCTAATTTGGTTTTAAGTAGAAAACATTTGCTTTCTTTCCATTTTTGGGGGGTAATATTTCTTGACAAAATAAAGATAAATTMTATTAATCAGAACAAAGATCTGTGTGAAATCAGCTTTAAAACCTATTGTCCTTTGAACAAGAAGGGAAAACAAAGTTGAAACAATGTAGTTATCAATAGAAACTGTGTGTAAGCAATTAATCATTTGAGCTTACGTCTACAATTAAATTTTACAACTTTGCTTCTGATTGTGGATATTGATTATAATAAATGTTTACATTTTATCTCCTAAAAACAAAAGGTTACCATTGCTTTAGATTACATTCAGCAAGTCTGATTTGTCCCCATTGCTCAAAAAACAGGGACCAAAAAAATAATAAATTAGGAAAGCACATTCCCTTCTTTTAGATGTGGGATGTGTAGCTGAGTAKACAAAAGACAAAGCTGGATTGAGCAGTTTGTTCAAATGTTCATATGTTGTCCAGCTGTTGATAAACTTTGATCATACATTTTTGTCTACAAGCAAATGTGCAAAGGATGCAGAAAGATCCTGTGTCATGYTCTTTTCTACTTCCAGGTCCCCTGTCAGTCCGCCTCTGGGCCAAAGTGAACTCATCCATCAGACAAAAACTGCTCTTTGATCACACTTTGACAAAGCTAGAGGCCACAGCTGGGGAATAAGAGGGAATCCGAGCACAAAACATCTCAGATTAACACCACCTTCCTCAACTTTGAACTGCCACATAACGTCTTCAATGGCAAAAGAGAGAAGGGGAATTATTTGGTGTACACTTTCTTCAGCCATGCATCCATTCTGCTGATCCATTTGTAGTGCAAGCAAACACTCAGCTTGATGAAAATCTGCAAGAGATACTGCTGAACATGACCACAAACCTGGTGAAACTAAAAACATCATGGTCTCAATTAAACCTCAGATATCAGCATAAAAAGCAACTTCTGCAACACTCACTAGCCGTGTTTCCATCCAATTTTAATTCGAAATTTGAGCAATTTTTTTTAAATTTTGCAAAAAGGAAAAAACGAAGAAATGCAAATCAGACATGTTTCCATTAACTGGCTTGAAGCGAATCAGTTACGTCAGATGCATGCGTGTAGTAAACAGGAAGTAAAAGTCACATCTCAGGAAAATAGAGAGAAGTTATCAGGAACGTGTTGCTACTGTCGGGAAAGTCCTTTGAGGGATTAACGCCTCGTTTACTGGAACTTTCTTTAACAAAAAACTTGCGTGTACTGGAATCTGCTGCTCTGTCAGGTCTGGCCATCAAGTGAAATGAACACATGCACACAGTGTGTGGGTGGCTTTTAAAGGGGCAGTCACTATGACTAACACAGGTGACAAGAATCATTTAATTAAGGTGGGAGGTGAGAAAACACAGGTGAAAACAATGAAACTCAGTCTGTGCAACTCCAGGTTGCCACAAGCTGATCAACATGTGAGGTAAATGTTCGCTACGTCATAACAGATTCAAACGTGTTTCCATCTGTACTTTTGCGCATAACTCTTTTTTGAAAAACAAAAAAACAAAAACCACCTCAAGTGAGCGTATCAACTTTTATGCGAATTAGAGGAAGTTTTTTTCGAATCATGCCGTTTCCATTCACCTTTTCTGATGCGATACTT